TGTTTGAAGGAAAAGCTGACTTATAACTGCTCTGAGATAAAGTTTTCTGGATGATCAAGGAAACCAGAAGCTTCTTGAATTTTTGCTGTTGAACTGAACCTGGATTTTCACTAATTGAGGAATTACGCCTTATTAATCTGGTTTGGGATTGCTGGACTAAACCTGGATTTGCATTGTCAGATATTATTTGCCTCCCTCACCCTCCAACCTGTTTCCCTAATAAATCTTACAGTTGTGAGTAAGCCTATGAGTCTTGCAACAAACATCAAACCCAGTGATTACTAGAAAAAGGTACAGGAGCATGGGAGGTGATGTGTCTGACCTTGTAGGTATTTGTATGATTCTGTGGATATTATGGATGGGGACAGATCCCCTTTATAAAAAGGGTAAGAGTTAGATTAATCCATGCCCAAGTTGCACAAGTTTCACACAAGCCATGATATTTGTTTTAAATTTTGCAATATGCCTACAAAAATTGAATAGTGAAGAAGGAAAGCCAAAGAGCTGATGCTTTTGAATTGTGCTGGTGATGAATATAGAATATACTATATGTTAACAAAATAGCAAATGTATCTGTTCTGATATAAGTGTACATACAACCAGCGTGCTCTGAAGAAGTGAAGAAGGCAAGACCTTGTATCACAAACTTTTGATATGTTTTCAAGAGAGCCCGTTTCCTAGAGAAGTGCATCATACTTGATAAAAAAAAAAATAAATAACTTAAAAAATGAGCAAAGTAGAAGATCCCCAAGAGGATAGGAATGATTATCAGAATGGTACAAGACCAAGCAGTGTTTTATTATGTGTACACAGGGTCACTGTGAGTCACAACTACCTTCTTGACTCTTAACTTCAACAAAAACATGGGAAAAATCTTAAATGATTGAGGAAGTATCAGATGAAGAACTGAGAACACATAGAGTCACATTACCCAAAGGAGTTGGGCTATGTTCGTCTGTTTCATGATGTAGAATCTGATTGAGAACCAATAGTATTAAAAAGTAAGACATCCAAGCTGTGCTGAGGACACTGGTAAAAACCAAGAATATAATAATGGATTATTGTTATGTGCCATCAATTTGCTTGTGACTCATAGTGACCCTATGTGCAAGAACACTAAACCATGCTTTATCCTGTGCCAACCTCACCTTCTCCGACACATTCTCATCACACCAATCACAGAATTGATCCATATCATCGATGATCTTCCTCTCCTGCACCATCCCTCCACTCTCCCAAACATGATGTCCCTCTCCAAGGACCAATCCCTCCTTGCAACATGCCCAAAATGTGTCAAATGAAGCTTCAGAATCCTGGACTTCAAGGAGCAGCCTGGCTTCACCCTCTCCAGGACAAACCTGTTTGTTCTCCTAGTAGTCCACTGTATATTCAACATTCTTCTCCAGCACCACAGCTCAAAGGCATCAATTCTCTTTCCCTAGTCACTGTCCAACTCATCAATACATAGCATGCAATTGTGAAGACTATAGGCCCAGATCAGGCACACCTTAGTCTTCAGCCCAATGTCATTGCTCTTTAGTACTCTGGAGAGGTCCCTGACAGCTGACTTTCACAATGCAATTCATTTCTTGATTTCCTCCTGGCTGCTGGTAACAAGAGTACTGACTATGGAGCCAAGCAAACTAGAACTGTTAACTATCTCAATCTCTTTACCATCCATAGTGATGCTGCCAAGGGGTCTAGTTATCAATGAAAATATTTCAGCAAATGGATCTAGCAATGGAAATACTCATCTATGTCAAGAAATGTGACAACTGACAGTAAGAGATCCATATTTGTGTTCATGCCAACTCAAGATGACCCAATAGAAATTATTAAACAGTTAAAAGCAGGAGTGCTATCCACTTCCTAAACAACATGCTTCTGGAAACTCTATGAACTTTGATAAATGTCGACAGTTGTAGAGGGGCTTCGGCCCTTTTGTTAATAGGGTCACTATGAGTCATACTCAACTTGAAAGCAATCAACAACAACATTATTAATTACATGTTGTAGTTGTTGTCGTTGTGTACCGTAGAGTTGGAATCAACCCATAGCTGACCCTCCAGCAGGTGTTCAGAGGCAGTGACTTGCATGGGAGGAGATTGTCCATCCTTCTCCCACAAAGAAGCTGGTGGCTTTGAACTGCGTGCTTTCGGGATTGCAGTGTAACTTCTGACCACTAGGCCACAAGAGCTAAAATTTTGTCTAGGATAATTAAAAAATCATTAGAGCACTACATTGACAGAAAACTGGGAGAAATTTAAGCTGCATAATGAAGAGGACGTGGGATAAAGAATATTATTGCTTACGTCAGATGGATCTTGGATGGAAGCAGAGACTGGGAGGAGGAAGCTTATTGTTTACCTGTGATTTTGTTTGTATGTCTTTTTTTGTTTACTATGTTTTATTGTGTCTGAAAATATAGTCAATCATACAAAATTTAAATTCCTCACATAGAAAGATTTTCAAGAGTTGAGATTAATTTTATTGATTGTGAATACAGATGAAAACTATAGCAAGTGGGTTTTTTCCAAAAATTTTCATTGGGATGTTGC